TACAGCAGGGGGAACGGGCTGAGATACCCTGATCAAGGATCGATTGACTAACGTCGAGCAGCAACAAACTTGGGTCTATCCTGTCTTGACGGTCTTTGTTTGATCCCGTAGTGTTACTGTCTTCAGGGTCAGTAACAGCAGTAGCCTGACTAAGAAAGCCAGCGTCATCCTGATCAGGAGATGGTTTCTTTGCCCTATCATCCTTTAAAATAACCGCGTTTCGCCGTAGCCTGCTAGAAATGTCATCTCTGAAAATAACCATCTCGGAAACACTTGGTTCGTCAACGGTTAGGCGTGTAGGATTGGAAGTCCAGACCGCCGATTCATCTATTTGACGGGGAGAAGTGGGATGATCCTGACTAGAAGCTGTCTGGAAAACTCGACGGACCCGGGATCTGAAAAGCTCTGGTACCAGAGGCCTGGGTATACACGCGGTAGCCCCAGGAGAGAATGAAGAAGCCCACGGATCATTTTCTCCAGGAACAAAGACAAAAGTAGATTTTCTAAGAAGATTGGGGAATTGTGTTAGCACCGAGGCGAGGCTGTCGAAGAATTCTTTATATTCGATGCTTCCACAATTTCCAGCTCCGATCGCCGCATCGTGGACGAAATTGCCTATCAGAACAAATGCTGGGGACTGTGTATCGTCAGACGCTGCATCATATTGGTTGAGAACTATTGAAAGGGCTTGAAGCGTCTTTGGATTGTCCAAATTCACTTCTCCCATGATAACGACTCGCTGTGCGTCTGAGGGCTGCCGGGATATAGAACTTGGGTGCCTGAATTCAAACTGGTTAGAGTCTCCGCCAGCACTCATTGGGTCAGCTGAAGGGTCCGTTGGTAGTGCAATATTCCAGCCACGGCTCTGGTTATCAATGCCCAGGGAAACCTCCCTTCTCTCGCAAGGCGGCCCTCCAACTGATATGGCAATGAACTTGCCGCCAATTGCTCCTGCACCGCGGGCCACGGTATCTTCGTCTTCGTCCTCATAGATACCATCAACGAGAAGGATCATCCCTGGGACAAACCAGGCGCCGTTTGCCGGAATCCCCTTGGCGTGATCTAGATCTATAGCCACCGTCCCTGAAGGATCAGAAAGATTATAACTTCCACTTGGAGAAATAGTGAGTAAACCGAGGAGCAAGTGGGTTGTGCTCCCTCTACCCTGTAAGCTTGTAATTGACGTAATTTTATATGGCTGATTCGACATAGCAGATGTATTTGATTGACCGAAGGAGGTGGGTAGTGTTGAAGTTTGGAAAGTTTCGTTCCGTAGTAGCCGTTCATGAATCCGATAATAACGATCTCTGAATAGACTGACTCTATTATTGGCAGGGGGAAGCAGGGAGGCATGTTCATGCGGCGATTCAAAGTGCTTCTTATTCATGTTATATGTCAAGCGTTGCTGTTCAAATGCACTGATAACTTTGACCCGTTTCCTTGCGCGGTCATTCGCCGCATCTTCCGGGGAGTCAGAGGACTCTGCACCACCAAGCCCAGCTTCCCGGGGCTCCGAAGTCGAGTTACCAGACTCTTGAACTTGAGGATCAACAGTACTATGCTCTCGTTTTTTTGGGGGTATAGTTGTGTCCGTAGTCTTTTTTCCAGACTTAATATCATGCTGGACACGTCCTCCGACCATGTACGTTTCCAGTTCAGATAAAATCGACTTTAGTGACAGCTTTGTGTCATCTTCCACTATTGATCCACCTCCCGACTGCTTCCATAACTTTGCTACTTCATCCAGGACCAGGTCTGCGAGCCCTTCCTGGCGCCATCTTGAGCCGCAAGACTTGCCAATGAAGGTTGCAAGAGCTTGTAGTGTCGTCGACGTGAAGGCTAGATTATGTTTCTTTGAAAGTGTCCGAAAAGCCAGTGGTCTAATGGTATTAGGAGGGATAACGACGGGAAGTACGGAGGGTTCATGGGCGGTTCTGGGGGCGTTTTGTTCGTTGATTCCTGAACTTTTACGAGAGTTAACGATACCAACTGGTTTGAGGGAGTGAGAGTAGCGGATTCTTACCGGATAGGCACCGACGCCTGGAGAGTGACCATGAGTAACAGACCGAATATACCTCCCTCTCGTAGATAAGTAAGTCCCTCTTGCAGCGTTCTTGAAGCGAAGTCAGTTCGCTTGAAAGTGTTCAACCGGCCATAAAGCTTGACGCGTCAATTTCCACTTAACGCGTCGTCTAGCTTGTTAAGTTCGTCAGTTGACTATTTTTAGTTTGCAAGCGCGCGTGAGTTTAAAAAGCTTCACCTTCTACTTTTTCCGCTTGCCATAAAAGACCGACCTAAGACAACGACGCGTGAGAAGAGACAGGACGAGCAGGCTTGCTTGATATTTACAGATTACAGGTCTCGGTGGACTTAGTGATAGCTATTACAATGGGTGATGAGAGGCAGACCAAGCCTGAGACGGGCAATGAAAGCGCCGCAGCGGCCAGAGCTCACCAAAAGGACCAGCTAGCACAGCTGGTCAAGCTGGCAACAGCAAACGAAGCAGCTAAAGACTATGGCAAAGCCGTGGATCTCTATTCTCAAGCAGCAGAGCTTCAGGCGGAGATACACGGCGACATGGCACCTGAAAACGCCGATATCCTGTACTCCTATGGGAAATGTCTGTACCATGTTGGCGTGAGCAAGAGTGACGTGCTGGGTGCGAAGATACCCCAGACCGCCACGGAGCCTGCTGGCGGATCAAGCAGCAAGTCTGGAAAGGGACCAGGGTCTGGCGAAGAGGAAGAGGTACCGTCGAGCATTATCAAAGACGCAATTGCCAAACACGCAGAGAATGGTGAAGGCGCAGGGCCATCAAGCAGCCGGGGCAAAGCTGGGGCGACACCGCTTTTCCAGTTTATTGGGGATGAGAACCTTGAAGCGTCTGATGATGATGAGGAGGAGGATGAGGAAGGAGAAGGAGAAGGCGGCGAGGAAGGCAAGGGAGACGGGGAGGAAGAGGAAGAAGACGACTTTGCGAATGCATTCGAGATACTTGACCTGAGCCGTGTGCTGTACGAACGACAGCGAAGTGAGCTAGAACAGGATAAGGAGCCGAACGAGGAGAAGCTACGACGGGTTAAGGAGCGGTTGGCAGACACGTACGACCTGCAGGCAGAGATATCACTAGAAGGGGAGAGGTTCCCGGATGCAGCTACGGACCTACAGTCGTCGTTACGGATCAAGGAAGAGTTATATTCAGGAGAGGACCCTATAATTGCTGAGTGCTATTATAAACTGTCACTAGCGCTGGAGTTCTCATCTGTGATGAAAAAAGACGGAGAAGATGGAGAAAAAGGGAAAGGGAAAGCGAGCGAGAACAGCAACGCAGAGCCTGAGTATGACGCAGCAGCCCGAGAGCAGGCAGCCGTCTACATGGAGAAGGCAATCAAAAGCTGCAAGGGCCGGATTGCCAAAGAGGAAGCCCGGATTGAGAGCATTGGCAGCAACGACGGGGAGACCGTGGCCAGAATCAAGCGGAATATCGATGATGTCAAGGATATCGTCTCGGACATGGAGCAACGGGTGAGTTTTTTTTTTTTTTTTTTTTTTTTTTTTTTTTTTTTTTTTTTTTTTTTTTTTTCCGGTTTTGGTAAAAAGCAAGAGAGAGAGAGAGAGAGAGAGATGAATAACAACTGCAACAAAGCAAATGTGAGGAGTATATTTCTGACTGGTACCAGCTTGTCGATCTCCGGCGCCCACCTGTGGCCATCCCGAACGCGGAACGGACCAACGAGGAACAGGCCGCCGCTCAGGCCATCAAGCTGGATGAACTTACAAAAGTAGCCAACGACCTGACGGGACTGGTAAAGAAGAAGAAGCAGCCAGTAGCAGCAACGGCAGCAGTGTCGTCGACGTCGTCTGTTGGCGAGCAGCAGCAACCCGAGGGCAAAGGGAAGAGACCACTGGAGTCAGCTGAAGAGGCATTAAATCCTAAGAAGGTAAAAGGCGAGGAGAGCTGAATATGCCTCAAGAGAGGGAGGGATGAGAGATGCATCAACCTGTATGTTATGAGGGAATAGAAAGGTGATAACAGCATATGAATAATGATGTTTCAAGCAACAATCTGAGAGTAGCTCATGATTTGTGCTTCCGTCTCTGCCGGCGCTTTGCAGCCAGCGAGGGCGTCCAGACGCCGGCGAAGAGGTCCTCGCACTCGTCCTCATCCTGGCTATCGAACTCAATTTCTTCTTTCTTCCCGCTGCCATTGTCTACAGCAGCAGCAGTAGCAGCAGCACGAGAGAAATCTACCGGGCCGTCTCTTGAGATGCTGACCCGCTTGCTCTCGACGATGAACTTGCCGACCTTGTATTTCTGGCTCTCCTCCTCGGCTGCGAGGTACTTCCATCCCAGGATGGTATGACAGAAGCGGCAGGCGATGTCGCTGACAGTGTGAGAGCCGGTGACGAGCTGTCTGGGCACCGCGCGGTGGGCGACGGTGTTTGCCAGCACGCTGAGGGCCGGATGCGGCGCCTTCGGGTCGGCTACGAGATACGCCCGCCCATGGCGGCCGGTGAAGCCCTTGCTGATGACCTGCGAGGCGAGGCAGATGGTGGCCGCGCAGTTGGTGCACCGCAACGTCGACTCGCGTCTGCCGTCCATGTTGTTGTTAGTGAGCCCAGCTAGCCGGAGAGAGAGAGGGGGAGAGAGAGAGAGATGGGAGGAAGAAGACCTACTCGGCGCCCTGCAGATAGCTGGGGAACCTCGCTGCCATCTCTGCCGGTGTTTCTGTCTGTCTGTAGCTGCTGCTCCGTATCTCGGCCTGCACCTCGAGTCACTACTGACTGTGCCCGTCGGTCTGCGTCGCTGTCTGGCTGCTCGCTAGTTACAGGCCTCAGCCCGCAGGCAATAGATTCGCATCTGGCCCGTCCCTGAGCCACTCGCAGCACAGCCTTTCCTGCGTCCTGCGTCCTGCGTCCGCCGTCCGCCGTCCGCGCTGCTACCGTCGCCGGCCAGGAAGAAGGAATAAGCAGCGGTGGTCGTGTTGCGTTGAGCAAGTAACTAGTTAAGCGACGCCCGCGAGTAAAGAACAGCCTGTCCTCAAGGCTAAAAGCAGCGAGGCGCCCGCCGGCCCGCAGCCGCTATATAAAGTCTCTCCCCCCGACCTTCCTCTTCCCTCCCTCGACATCGACATCGGCATCGACGTTGACATTGACATCGACATCGATAGACATTCCTCCTTCCGACCTCTCCCAGCTGAAGCACCGTGCCAATTGATACTCAGACAGCATGCCCGGCGTCCGCAGCCTCCTCCTCGCCCTCGCCGGCGTCTCTCTCGCGCCCGCCGTGCTCGCCGCAGACGCCTCGACAGACACGTCGGACGTCCACGCCCTGAAGGCAGACACCTTCAAGGACTTCATCAAGGAGCATGACCTCGTCCTGGCCGAGTTCTACGCCCCCTGGTGCGGCCACTGCAAGGCCCTTGCCCCCGAGTATGAAAAAGCAGCTACCGAGCTCAAGGACAAGAACATCCAGCTCGCAAAGGTCGACTGCACCGAGGAGGCCGATCTCTGCCAGGAGTACGGCGTCGAGGGATACCCTACGCTCAAGGTCTTCCGTGGCCTTGACTCGTACAAGCCTTATAACGGTGCTCGCAAGTCCCCAGCGTGAGTAGTCCCTGCTATAGATCTAGAAGATAGAAGTAGAAAAAGGGGGGAAGGTCGGAAGAGATATTGACAAAACCCCATAGCATCACCTCGTACATGATCAAGCAAAGCCTGCCATCAGTCTCGGTTGTGACAGCAGACAACTTCGAGGAGGTCAAGTCCCTGGACAAGGTTGTCGTCGTCGCCTTCATTGGTGAAGACGACAAGGAAACCAACACGACCTACACTACCCTGGCTGACTCAATGCGGGACGATGTCCTCTTTGCCGGCACCAACAGCGCTGAGCTGGCCAAGAAGGAGGGCGTCTCGCTTCCTGCCGTTGTCCTCTACAAGGAATTCGATGACCGCAAGGACGTCTATGATGGCAAGTTCGAGGCCGAGGCCCTCAAGGCTTTCATCAAGTCCTCTAGCACTCCCCTCGTTGGCGAGGTTGGCCCAGAGACCTACTCTGGATACATGTCGGTAAGTCTCATTTGAGCAAGACCTACTCTCTGTGGACAATTGCTAACTAACGTGTGTGAAACATAGGCTGGCATCCCTCTTGCATACATCTTTGCTGACACTGCCGAGGAGCGTGAGCAGTACGCTAGTGACTTCAAGGACCTCGCCAAAAAGCTAAAGGGCAAGATCAACTTCGCTACCATCGACTCCAAGGCCTTTGGTGCTCACGCTGCCAACCTCAACCTTATTCCTGAGAAGTTCCCTGCCTTCGCCATCCAGGACACCGTTTCCAACAAGAAGTACCCCTTCGACCAGGAGAAGAAGCTCACCAAGGAGGAGATCACCAAGTTCGTTGAGGGTGTCATCTCCGGTGACATTGCTGCTAGCGTCAAGTCCGAGGCTGTCCCAGAAACTAATGACGGCCCAGTCACCGTCATCGTCGCCCACACCTACGAGGATATCGTCATGAACAAGGACAAGGATGTCCTCGTCGAGTTCTACGCTCCTTGGTGCGGACACTGCAAGGCGTAAGTTCACCCCCTTTTCACACGATCTCATTTAAACCATGCAATTGGCTAACAAACGCGTAGTCTCGCTCCCAAGTACGACCAGCTCGGCAGCTTGTACAAGGACAACAAGGACTTCGCCTCCAAGGTGACCATCGCTAAGGTCGATGCCACCGCCAACGACATCCCAGACGAGATCCAGGGCTTCCCTACCATTAAGCTTTTCCCTGCCGGTGCTAAGGACAAGCCAGTCGAGTACACCGGCTCTCGCACCGTCGAGGACCTCGCCAACTTCGTCCGTGACAACGGCAAGCACAAGGTCGACGCCTACGATGAGAAGAAGATCGAGAAGGATGGCAGCGATGTCACTGGAAAGCCAAAGGATGCAGAAGCCCCACCAAAGCCTTCTGATGCTCCCGAGCCTGAGGAGCAGGCTGACAAGAAGCATGAGGAGTTGTAGTTCTTCTTCCTTTACGCCGGCATGCTTTGAATCCTTTCTAATGTAAACTTATGAATCTACGTTTACTCGCCCCCTCGAGTTGGTCTAACTTCCAATTGCAACCAGCTCACAATGGACTTGTTTTTCCGAACTGCCTCCACCCGTCCGTCAATGGGGCTGCTTTGCTTGTTTTTCTGTTTTCTTTTTCTCTCTTGCTTAATGATCATAGGGACAAAGGGAAAAGGATGGGAAATAAATAATCAAGAAAAGGACAGATAACTTTTCTTACCTTTTGCGTTCGGTTGTCTAGCAATATACCTTTAAATGATATTCATCTTGATATTTACAACTAGCTCAATTTGGGTAGCCCACTCTACAAAATAGAACCAATCATCTTAAATATATTATTGCTATTTATTATTTTTTGTACATTCAAATCAGTCAATGGTGATTACGCTGCCGTTGTTGGCTTGCTTACTGACATCTGATTCGCTATTCGGGGCTACTACCCCTGTAGTACTCGTTGCTGTCATGGCGGGCTGGCTAGTGCCGCTACTGTTACTCAACGATGCAGGGACGGAATTGCTCTGGTTCCCATCCAACATCATCACTCTGCCAGCGCCATTCGCTGCCGCTTGCGTGCGTTGTTGCGCAACATGTGTCTTAATAATGTTGTCGAGCACCATGATCAGGCTGACTGGATTGTCTGCTTCTGCCATGGCTCCGTCTCCGAGCCCGCGCCAGCCATCCCCATTGACCTTGAGTATTTTATTCGTCAGCTCGCTTTCCAGTGCTACCTGGCTCATGCGGACACTGGGAATCGTGCCATTCCGAAGAAGCCAACAAATGCGCTGTCTGCGTTGTTTCATCGTCAGGTGGAATCGATATTGGAGGTACGGGTATGAGATATGGTACATTTTGGCAGACCGAGCCGCTATTCTGACTACAGCGCGGGATCGGTCTCTTGATTCGGCAAGAATGGTCTCAACGGCTTCCAGGAAAGGTAGAGTGAGGGTAAGCAACTCCAACGTAAAGCCCAGTCCAGCTGAAGGGTCGTTGAGTATGGCTGTTAATGATTCCATGATGCGTCGATGAGGGTTCTTGCCATGGAGGTCTAGTGACATCCGAAGCCGGGCTAAAGGTCTCTTGTCACCCTTGGTCTTGGATTGTTGGTTGTCTGGTAAAAGTAGAGGCGGACGTGTATCGATGTATTGGAAGAATATGGAGGCCCGTAGGCTGCCGTTGGAAGAAGGGTATGTGAAACTGATTTTCGATGACGATATCGAAGTGACTACGAATTTTTTGCGGTGGATAAACCCCAGAGCAAAAATGGTATTTGTGAGCCGTTGTAACCAGGAGAAGAGCTGTTCGATAATGGGCACACCTATGCGCGTGAAAAATCGAATTGCAAATTTTCGAGACCGAGGTTTGAAGCTGAGGTTTGAATCGGAAGCTAAGATGGCCATTCCAAGATGAGAAACTGGGACTGCAAAAAATCCTGTAGCCACGACAATTGCCTCACGAGTTCGGTGGTTGATTCCCTTATACGAGAGACAAATGGTGTCCTTGATGATAGTCTTGCTTTTGTTGGATAAGGGAGAGGCCACTCGCAACTGGTGTGGAAGATCAGAGGCTTTGTAGCATACGTTGGTATCTAGGACTTCGTTGTCAACTCCTAGAACCTGATCCTCTATCTTTGGAAAGTGGCAAAGTTTTAGTTTGTTAAGGCAGTCTGCATTCGAATGTGCTACAACCATGCCCGATATGGAGTTAGCAAGCTTTGCAAAAGAACGATAACGGTGTTTATTGGATGCATATCCGCACTGTCCTGTAATGGCATGCGCTTGCTGTAACTGTATGAGGCGGCCATCGCCGGGACACCGGGTTTGAGATTCAGTTGCTGATGGCGCTTTATCCCGCAGCTGGATCACCCACCAGTCATCCCTTTCTATGCTGCTTGTAAAAGCAACGAGCCAATTGGGATCCCAGTCTCCGTGTTGGAAGAGGGAGATGTTTCTAATCTCATTGACAGGAAGTACTTTGCGCAGTGATTGCATGTCAACATTTGCAGGTGCTATTAGCTTCCAGCCAACCACACGTCCATGGCTTTCGGCTTCTTCCATCGCAACCAGGCATCTGAGACGACAGATACGTTCGTATATCCCTACCGACAATGCTTTGTTGGGATCAGGTTCAACATCATGTCGACTCAATGATAATGGCACTGTCCGTAGAGCAACTATTCCGCCTACAGGCTCGATAGCTAATCGCATAGTTTTCCTGCGGGTGAGTTGAATATCTAGGTAACAATTCCCAGGCTCCGTTGCAGACGTGTTTAACCCTAGAAAGAGTACTCCTTGGCCATACAATTTGGATGCAGTAAGCTTGGTATAGACTTCGAAGAATATGTCGTGGATGTGCCGTGATATAGTCCTTCGCAGTATAGTTTCAACTGATATAATCTTGTTCTCGAAATGTGTGCTTTCAACGGAAACCTCCTTGTTATCTCGGATCCAGCGAACATATAAACGAGGTATATCTGGCTGGTATGCCCGGCCTCCTCGTTGTGACTTATTACGTCTAGTTCCGATTTCAATCCAACTTTTTGGCCCAGGCCGATTGGTCCAGTACTGGATAACAAGAGTGCGGTGGAGCAACTCGATCCGCAGATTATTACCCCAATGAGATCGAGCTACTTCAACAGCCTGTCTAAAACATGTCATGATCTTTTGGTTCAAAACAAGGTTGTGAAGGAGGTCGCAGCAGCCAACGATTCCCGATTTCATTAGTGAGGTGTTGATAGTACATTCTAGATTATCACGAACGGGGCCTCTAGAAAGTGCAGATGATGGTGAGAATATAAATCGGAGGTCGACAAAGAAGAACTGAGAGTTTCGCGTTTCCTGGGCTATTGACAAGTCTAGCTCGATTTCATTTGAAATTGTGAATGTGACCCTTCCATCATGGATACGGTATGTAGCGTATTCCGGAATGGAGTCATGGGTGATGAGTCGGATGCTTATCAATTTATTGATTTTTCGAAGTGTTTTTAACGTATCTTTGGGGGAGAGTTTGCCTGGAGGCAAAAAAGGAAGCTAAGATGAAACGGTTAATACGGAGTTCAACTAATGCATAACAGAGGGAGAAACCTACCGCGGGAAGAGCCGAGACAGCTCCGGTTGAAAGTGCTTCTAATGCAGTTTCTAAGTCCGGGTTTCCCATCTGCGCCTTAAAGAGGTCTCGTTTTATGTTTCCGGCAAGGAAGATCGCGTGGTTGTATAGATCATAGCGTTGACGAATAAAAAACTGCAGATCAATCAATCTGCCAACATCAACAGCTTGCCGTCCCCATTGTGAGAGAACAAGTAGTTTGATGAACTCGGCTCTCTTTGCCTGCGCAAACTCGAGGATTTGGCTCTTCTTGGCACTTGAGGCATTGTATGAGCTACTGCCACCTTGATGGTTGGGAGGAGCATCTCCAAGCTCGCTAAGAAGGTGAAGTAGATCGTTCCAACATTGAACAACCACCCTGTTGATACCCTTGGCAAGAGGAAAGAACCCTTGAGTGATATGGGTTATTTCCGGAGGAGGCAGCTCCGGAGCCGTAATTATATCGTTTGATTGAGATTTAATGCCATTCGCTTGGCCATTTGAGTGGGAGTTGATATCGGTGGTTTGAAAAGCGCCGTTGTCTGAAGCCGTGTTATCTCCGTTCACCGTCCCTATGGTGCGCCATACTCCAAGGGCGCTTGGGTCATCCATGACGATGCCAGGCATTTCCCAGAGCTAACACCCTCACCTGCTGCCCCAGACCAAGGATATATTGAGCTATATCGGGGCGTCTCGATTACTGGTGGGCCATTCGTGATGAAGCTCAAGGGTATCGGAAATCCAGCATCAGTCGGCGCAACGACTATCATTAAATCGCAAGGTCTAAAGAGTACAGCCAAGTCACTAAACAACGTAACCGAGTCAGTAATGCATTTGAGAGGGCATGCGAAATGAGGCAAACCGAAATAAGAAATGGAGAAAGAGCAAACTCACCTCTCGTCAACCGCATCTCAGCCACCACTCTTAGGTACACAGCAAACTGAAAAGGTACACAACCTCAAGTGATGCTGCTGAGCTATCAGCTCGGCGCGCCTCAAGATGCAGGCAGCGCTTTGTAGGCGTGAATGGTGTCTCTATCACCTGGCAAAGAAACGAAGCAGGAAAAAAAGGCGAAGTGAAAGCGAAGCGCATCGAGAAGTCACAACACGGAAGACGTCATGTTATGTAAGCAGTGGCTGGCCCCATACTTTGGTCACGTGCGATGGCGACCTTTTCTTTTCTTTCTTGTCGACTTCAACTTCTCAACTTCAGCTTCATCAACGACGACGACAACGACTACGAGAGCAGCAACGTTGCTCCTTTTCTTCGTTTTTATTTAGCAGTCACCAGCCCCTTATTTCTTCTCAAGTGGTTAGCGGAGAAGATATTTTGGGCTGACTCCCTCAGTCTTGTGTCTTTCTAGAAGGTATCTGACATGTGCCAAGTTACATCACCTATTTCTCTCATTTTCTTCCAAAGTGATGCTAACTGACCCTTGTCTTGTAACAGTATAATAGCTTTATCCCATAGTTCCCTTGCGCCCTTGATCCGTTTGAGACTTTTTGACACACCTGTGCGGGCACTCTCACGGCTTGGTGGCGCTTTCTTTCTCCCCTCTTCCTGTTACGGGCTTTTTCGCTGTCATTCTCAGTCCTTCGCTAGGCGGCCGCTTGGGTGTCCCTTGTTGTTATATGTGATATCTTCATCTTGTATCCCACTTGGGTGTTAGCAGGCCTGAAAGAAATATCAGAGAAAAGAAGAAAAGAAAGAAAGACAACCCAGTTTGATCCTCGAACACAATCTGTTCCCTCGCAACTCGGCTTTTCCCTTCGTCTCCTGGAGGGAAGACTTGACTTAGGACGGAGGCATCTGCTTGCTTTCTTTTGAATCCTCCATCGCTCTGGTCCTTTACCTCCGCCTAATAGTTCTTTATTAACGATTCAAGCCAAAAAAAACCCGTAACCTGGCCATTATTCTCTTCCTCTTTACTTTCTCGAATGTTTCCCCCCTAATCATCTTCCTTTATTTCCAATCCCACTCTTCTTCCTTTGTACTTCGTGAATCACCGACTCTGTCTTGTTGGATTCCCTCTTGCTATCATCTTCATACCCTTTCTCATAACTTTCTCCATCGAGTGTCTGGCTCTTCGTCAAAAGTAGGTGTTTGTGTTACACATCGATCTTGCTCCCTATCTCCAAATCTAGACGTTGTTCATTTTTTTTTTTCCCGCAGCCTTTGCTCCAGCCATCATGGCCTCTTCTGTCCATTTCAAGTTCAAGTCTCAGAAAGAACCCTCGAGGGTGACATTCGATGGAACTGGCATATCAGTCTTTGAGCTGAAGAGGGAAATTATCACTCAAAACCGACTGGGAGACGGCTCTGAGTTTGAGCTTTCGATCTACAACGAGGATACAAATGAAGGCTAGTTTCCTCATTCTTTGGATACCCTGAATTACCTATATACTAACGACTTGTAGAATATGACGATGATACGGCTATCATTCCTCGATCAACCTCAGTCATTGCTCGCCGCTTCCCAGCCGCACGTCCCGGTAAAGGCGGCGCGGCGAGATACATGTCAGGCAAGGCACCTGTCACGTCGCGGAATGTGCAGCATGATGGCGAACAATCTACTCGTCAGGATACTGGCGACAGTGGCATCGAAATCAGTAGTCTCCAGTCGGAAGATGAGAAACTTAAAGCATTGTTTCGGCTGCAGGAGACACAGTGGAAGGAACAGCAGCAAGACATGACAAAGTGAGTCCATAACCTAAGCAATACTTCACCATGTATCTTCATTGACCGATAATATTGTAGTATGACTCCCGTTATGGGTCGAGGCCGAGGGAAACCTGTAACGGTTCCCGATCACCCACCTCCGCCAGGTTATCTCTGCTACCGGTGTGGCGAGAAAGGTGAGCTTAACCAGCCTGGTTTTTATGGTTTAGAATAACCCTAACATTCATTATAGGTCATTGGATCCAGGCCTGTCCAACAAATAATGATCCCCGGTTTGATGGCCGATATCGTGTTAAGCGGTCTACAGGCATTCCCCGTTCATTCCAGAAAAAAGTGGAGAAACCAGACTCGCCTGCTTTAGATGGCTCGGATGACAATTCGAAACTTACAGGGGTTATGGTGAATGCTGATGGGGATTTTGTTATTGCTCAACCAGATAAAGCTTCGTGGGAGTTATATCAAGAGAAGGCAACTGCATCCAAAGCAGCAGAGGCCGAAGCAGCTAATGCTGAGCGAAACAAACAATTGCAGAACAGAGGTCTCTTATGCCCCCTTGACAAAAGAATGTTGTTAGCGCCTACAAAGACACCGTGCTGCGAAAAGACATATTGTAGTGATTGTATCACTAATGCCCTAATTGAGAGCGATTTTGTCTGCCCCAACTGTTCTGCTGACGGTGTTTTGCTTGACAATCTATCCGTTGATGAAGAAGCTATTAAAAGGCTGGCCGAATTCGAGACCGAAAAGTCACAGAAGACGGAGGGAACCGAGATAAACTTGCCTGAGAAGGTAGGCTCGGAGAAGGCCAGTAACAAGGAACAGTCACAGCAAGAAGCGACCACCTCGAAGAAGAGATCAGCAACTGAAAATGGCGCAACCCAGGATAATGACCAACTTCAGGCACCGGCTATGAAGAAACAAAAATCCCGAGATAGCACCGGTGATACACAAAACAACACTCAACACACCACTCCGCAAAGCAATATTCCCCAGGTCACTACCCAAAGCAATACGCAAAATCGTAACTCTCAAAGCAATACTCACGGCACTACACCTCAGAATAATATTCCGCAACCTGGTCCTATGAATCCTTTCCCACAGATGCCACCTCAACCAATGATGGGTGCATATGGGCAAATGAATCCGTTTGCCGGACAGGATATGATGCCCATGGGTGGATATTACAATGGTGGGAATAACTGGAGTCAGGCATCAGATCCTTATATGATGGCTGCGGGACCCTTTATGGGCGGGCCGGGCCAAATGGGATATGGGATGCCAAATTCAGGAATGAACTTCAATAGTTTCAACCCACAGATGATGAATCAAATGAATCAAATGAATCAAATGCAACAGCCTTTCCAGCAACATTACGGTATGACTCCCTTTTCGAACCAACAGCGGAGCCATATCAGCGAACCGCTTGCGAATGAGGAAGACTCCCCTTATTTCAGACAACCTGTGAATCCTCACCGCCACCATGGAAGACAGAAGAGAACACGCCCTAGTGACTACCGGGAGCTGTAGGCAGACGTGCTTCGTTTTTATGTTTCTCCATGGTGCAGTGTCCTGTGTTGTTGCTGCTTTGGCTTGTTCCCCTTTACTCATTTTTAAAATGCCCCAGACGAAAAGAAAAAGAAGAAACCTGTATCATAGCAATAGGGCTTCATGATGTATATACAATGATTAGTGAACCTTTTAAATCAATATCACTATTAATAAAAACGTTTCTCGGCTTCGTCAATTGATGAGCTGTCGGTGTTGTAGAAAGCTGAAGTTGAAGTAGAATTTTGGACTAAGCCTGACCTGGCTTAGCGCGCTTGTCCCCGTATCAAGAGAAATCAACCAAAACAAATGAAAAAAAAAAAAAAGATCTTGTAGACTCAAGCTTGACAATCAAGATCCCTCCTTTCTTTTAGGCTCGTTGCCACGGCCACTCTACTTGCCGCCGCAATGTTTTCTGCTCAGGGAGGCATTGCTGTGACCGCAGTATCTAGTCGACCCCGGCGACGACAGAGACCTAGATCAGAGGACGGCTTCCAACCTCCGCGAGCAAAGAGACAACGGTCAACAAAACATGCTGAGGCTGGCGGAGACACGGAGCTCGACACGGCAGCGTACGAACAAGCGCACTGTTTGGCAGTAGAGCCAGTCCTTGAAGACGGCCCTTCGTTGGCTGCGGGTGACACATCTATCGACCTCCCAGTGCGCGGTCGTAAGGAGTCAGATCGACCTACCTACGATTCCCACTCAACTCTTATCGTAAGCTTCCCAGCGCGTTCTGTTCATTATTGAAGGCGTGTAATATGACTAACTTGTAGCTTCTTTAGCTGGATAATGGCTTCTACAGTGCTACTCGACTCTCCGCCCTTCCAGAGCCTCTTCAGAGGTCATCAGGTACGCTATCCTTATATCACAGGTCTACCGCGTACTAACTGTCGAAATAACACCTCTAGCGCCATTTCGATGCGTTGTATCACCAGAACATGCAAACTCACTTATTCTCACCCACAACCAGGTCTATGTTTGGGCTTATTCGTCTGGTTCTTCCTCTATCAGTCCAAGTGACTTCTCTACGTTCAACATACCTGAACCATCTCCAAAACACATCGACCCTTTACCACTTGGCGCGTTTACCTCCAGCTCTTCGACAAGCGATGCAGGCATGTTAGTAGTGATACCAGCTACCGGAAAAATTACATTCTGGCAAACCATTTCGAATAACGTTATCCTTGGGTTGATAAAACAGAAATGCAATACAGTTCATGGCTCAATACCCGGAATGATGTCCGGAGAATTTGTTACGGGCCTACTTAATGCGGAGCCGTCCGGGTTCATCATCACTCTTTCTACTGGTCGCGTTGCTCATCTAACTATTATGGATGCTCATGGCAAAGCAAGCCTGAATATAAGGTTCCTTGACTTGGCTAATCGTGCTACGAGTGGCGGCATATTTGGAGGTCTGAGGAATGTATTTAGCGGTGCCTCTTGGAGAAGGAATATCGCTGCTGCAAATGGCGGCCGATCCACACAACGTGGCCAGCGTGAGGTCATTATTGCGACCAGCTCGGGATTGATTGAAGTCTGGGATATTCACTGGGAACAATGGCAGCGGCTTGAAGACACGTATGGACGCAACGCTCGAAATCAACAGAGCGCTGAAAGACAAGGGCTTAAACTCTGAAAACGGCTCCCTTGCCTCCGTACAAGTCTTGGATTTTGCAATCAAAAACAACAGCAAACGTTCAAACGATGCGGAACGTGACCTCTCACTCTGGGTTTTATTCTCCGTCTCCGGAGAAACCATTTCATACTTCGTTGTTGACTTGACTTTCCCAGAAAATATCCCAGAAGCTGGTCGGGTCTTCAAAATTGATTATGAGGGTCAGCTACAGGACTCTGCGGATTCTACCCCAAAGATATATGTGCCCCGTCCCGGTAAAAGTGCTTTCATCGTCTTCAAAAATGCAACCGTCCTCGTGTCGTTAATACCCGTGGAAGATTCGACAAAAGATGGTACACCCGAATTTCAGGACCTTGTTCGACTTCGGGACCGAGACAATTTCGTGGTTATTGGATCGACTCTAGATGATTGTGGTGACGAACACCGTCGAGACTGCTGTGTGCTGGTCATCCAAAACTACGGGCTTGTTCATCTGTCCAGCTTGCGTTTGAAGACTGAAGTGGCACAAGATATACAATTGACGACCAAACTACGCCTTGAACAGATTGTCTTCTTTGAAAATGCCAAAGACAACCCTATCAATTTCCACCATTACAAGGAGCTGTCTTCGAAACCCCGCCTTGAAGAGGCAATCTTAAATATTACGGACGAAATCCTTCATTCGAGCTCGATGTATATTTCCTCCATAGCGGCGTCCTTGGAACATCAAATGACAATGCGATCCAACGCTCTACAAGCTCTTGCAAAATATATCAGGAACAACCATGTTGAACTTAGCTATTCGATTCGGTGGCAGCTCCTCTGGAACGCAGAAAAAATGGCAGCGAGTAAAGCGATCTGGGCTCTCTATAATGATCTTAAGAAAAATACCCCGAGAAGATTTGTATCTGGACACTTGATTGAGACCATGG